AAATCATGATAGGAGTTCCTAATTCAGAAACCCTACATTCTAATACATACCCATAGGCTCCTAAGTAGTTCCTTTTTGTGGCTTATATTTAGAATCCTATAAGGTAATCCCAAAAAGGCACTACTTAGGAGCCTATACATAGGTACTTCGGACCCTTTGGGCTTTGGGGCCCAGGTAACCCGATCTTTCATCCCGGGCCTTCCTCCTTGGCCGCCAAAAAAGGAGAGTTGGGCAGTAGCCAAGCGTCCTTGAGGGCTTTAGGGCTTTAGGGTTTTAGGGTTTAGGATTTCAGGCTTTAGGGCTTGGATTCTTTTCGGGCTGAATTGCTAAGATCAGAAAATTTCAGGCCTTCCGGTTTGGGACAGACCCCTGCGCCGTTGAACGAGGCAGGGTATGTTCCTAAAGGAGCCAAGTGGGACTTTCCGAAAATCAGGGTACCTTCTTTTGGGGTCCTTCTTATTACAAGGATCCTACCATTTAGGGTGCTATATTACAAGGTCCCCTCTCTCTCTCTAACCGACTCGAGGTCCCCTTTTTTTCGGAAAACCCCCAAGTGTCCCGAAGAGAGCGCACCAGGGATAACGAACACCTGCTGCCAGCTCCAGCGGCAGCACCTGGTGAAGAGCTTAGGGCTGACCTGCACCCAAAGACCTGCCTTTTTTGAGGCCTTCTATAAAGAGAGAGAGAGAGAGATACATACATATATATATATATATTCAATATATATATATATATGTATGTATATATGTATATGTAGATGTAGATGTAGATGTACGTCATGAGGAAAAGCACAGCGCGATGTTACTCAAATCATAGCTCACACTATACCAAAGGTCAGTATGAAGTCGCTTCTGCCTATGGAAGCTAGACGGTCACACCTAACGGACCCCGGAACAAAAGGTCGAAGGCCACTTTTGCAAAAGCCCTGCCTCTAGCAGGCACAGAACGCAAGCCGCAACAGCACAGATCATTCCGAGCACTGCTGCCGCATAGCCGTTGTTCACAAACCAGAGGGTGGAGACTTTCATCCAAGCAGACGTCTGCCAGCTGTGGGACCAGAACTCGTCGATTTTCTCCACTGCGAAACTGAGCTCGTGCAACCCCTCTGCATTTCCTCGAAAAGCCCTGCCGAAGTGACGAAGCATCGTATGCGCCCTCGCTGCGCGAATGACGTCTGGGCGAATGGCCTGCATAGTTTGCAATGTCTTCACGATCGCATCTACCAGGCTCGAACCTTGGTGCAGGGCTTGAAGGGTTGCGGTTCTTTCGGGTTTGCGTTCTGGCTCCGATCCACGCTTTGCGAATCCAAGATATCAGCTATCAAATCTTGCTCGATTTGAGTATACCCTGACGGCTCGGTCCTCAGTTTTGAAAAATCTACCTCGTGGTTTTTCAAGTTCCAGCCGCTTGCTCTTTGTTTGCACGCGCCTTCTGAAGACACACCGGTATTCAATTGGATAGATAGATAGACAGATAGATAGGTAGACAGGTAGCTGGATAGATAGACAAATAGACAGATAAGTAGGTAGGGAGGTAAATAGGCAGACAAACAGCTAGAGAGGAAGAGAGAGAGAGAGAGAGAGAGAGAGAGGGAGAGAGAGCGAGAGCGGGAGTTAGATAGATAGATAGATAGACAGATAGTTGGATAGATGGTATGATGGATAAGAAGACAGAAAGATAGATACATGGATAGATAGATGAAAATATAGACAGACCGATGGATAAGCAGATTGCTACCACCAGTCACTACCACTACCACTGCCACTGCCACTACCACTACCACTACGACTACTACCACTACTACTACTACTACTACTACTACGACGACGACGACGACGACGGCGACGGCGAGGACGACGACGACGACGACTAACATTCTACTGCTACTACTACGACAACAGCAACAGCCTGCTTAAGAAATCACTGGTTTAGAAATTGAGACCCTCGGACAGCCGTGCGACAAAACAATAGAGAAAAATGCGCAAATTGAAAATCAGAAATCCAGGGTACCCTGGACTCGGCGAGCCAATTTCTTAATTTGCTCTTCTCATGTTGTCTTCGCTGGTTTTGTTCGCAAAAAAAGAGAACCAAGAAACTAAGGGACTAGATTTCGTATACCCAGAAGCTGGGCGCATGGAAAGACACCCGCGGGTTCGAGTCCACAGCCTTTTGCCAACTAATTTTGTGCTTGCCAACTGAGCTACAGCATGCCCAGACGAGGAATTTTGGACCTCCCTCAGCCTCTCAGTTTCTTCTGCCGGCCAGAACAACCCAGAAATATGAAATTGAGCCCCTCATTATTTTTATTTCGGTGGTTTGTTTTTCTCGAAAATGGCAAAGCCTTATGAAGCCCTGATACAGCCTTTCTTAAGCCCCTGCCAAGCCTTGAAAGCCCTTCTTAAGCCCTTACAGAGCCTTTAGAGCCCTCCAAAGCTGGTATTAATTTCTAACTTACGGGCGGTTCTGGGCTTGCCGACTAAGAGCTTAATGAGGACTTCATTAAGCCATTAAGCCCTAATAAAACTTTTGCAAGGCTCCAGAGGCTCTATGAGGGCTTAATAAGGGATTGTTCAGGCTTTGTCATATACGAAAAACGCACCAGAATAAGAAATTGAGGGGCTCGATTTCCTAAATTTATATTTAAGAAATTGAGGGGCTCAATTTCTTATTATTTGTTTTTTTTGGGGGGGTTCTGGGCTTGCCTAATAACACCATACCCTAATGACAGCTTTGGAGGGCTCCAGAGGCTCCATAAGGGCTTTCTAAGGCGACTGCGACTGCGACAAGCAATCTTCATGCCAGGAACCGCTACGAATGCTAAATCGCTGCCTGAGCCAGTGAAGTAAACCTTTAATACTTGGCAGATAGTTTTCTAGTGAGACATTTGGTGCTGTCTTTCGGACGTGAGATGCCTAAGCTTGAATATCTGAAAAGCGAAACCAAACAAACTACTGAACTGTTGTTCTCATGCATTCAGACTCGAGCGTAGTGGATCATCCATTCATCCTTCATTCTATCGTGCTGCATTCGTCGGCTCGCATGGTTCATGGCTTGCAGATGTGATTGCTTGGCGCATCCAGGAAATTCTCTGGTCTCGTTTTGATTGCCGTTCTCCTAGCGGTGATAGTCGACACGCTTGCTCTCATCGCTAGCGACGGTGTTCATGGCATTGCCAGCAAGATCGCGATTTACACAAGCAAAGAAAGATAATCCAGCGTCACCCTCATTGAACACTAAACCTCACTGCAGCTCGGTTGCCCGAAATTGAGGTGCGGTTCGACTGCACCGAGTCCACTTTCAAATTTATCGCTTCTGATACTGCATCTTCATAGAAAGGCGAATCGATGACTCGTCCCAAACACTCCGCGGAGGGTGTTGCCATGGGCGGCGGAGAAAAAAGCCAGATCTGCTGTTCAACAGGCTGTGAGTTGCGGTGTCGTCCCAAACCCTAAACTTTAGGGTTTAGGACTAGGCCCCAAACCCTATATGCCTTCCATTCGGCATGCCTACCTCGACGGCCTGACGATGGTCTTCTTGTGGTTTAGATTCTCGCAACACCGACGCTCCGGGTTGGGACTTGCCTGGGACCAGTTTCTAGGGCACTGGACAGCTAGATGAACACAGACTGCGACATGTCATAACACCCAAGAACGCAACCTTCATTCAAATGCTTGCAGAAACCACCAAGTTCTATAAGGCCCTGAAAGCCCCCTCAGCCAAGAGATCTACTTGGCCCCTGTCTTCTAAAGCGCCCAAGGACTCAAAGCCGTATCCCGACCACCCAGGCCTGACCCGATACTGCCGTCGTCGGCTCTAGGATCGAGCATCACATCCTATGTTTAGGGTTCAGGGTTTAGGGGTTAGGGTCTATGGTATATCCTATGTTTAGGGTTTAAGGGTTTAGGGTTTAGGGTATATCGGGCTTTATGGAACGTGGTTGTTGGGTATGAGGAGAAATATTATAGACCCGGAAAACCGAAACGTAGGACCCAGAAAAAGGTGGGTTCTAGTAGGTTAAGGTGGGGTCTGCTAGAGGCCCTTCCTTCAAAACTTCGTCGACAGGACTAGAAAACCAATTCACATCTTAGCTGTGTCCTTGGGAACTTAAGCCGAACACGATATTGAAGGTTGAAGGTCAGCTACTCATAGCGCCTGTGAAGTCAGCACGCGTGCGCCGAAGCCATCAACCAGGAGCTCCCTGACACGAATCGAATTGTTCTCCTCGCGGAATTTCGGGCTTTAGTCCTGGTTTTGCAGACTGTAGAACTTGGGGTTGTAGGGGCTTTTTTAGCCTCCCCACCTAGCTGGACGAGCCTGCGTTGCAGGAGTTTGGGGCTGAATCTTTAGGGTTTACAGGACTTGGGATTTGGAATCCTGGCTTTGGGTTTTGTGCTGTTAAAAGGAGCCCTTAACAGGAACCCTTCAAAGGAACCCTTAAAGGAACCCTTATAAGGAACCCTTAAGGTGCGAGAGTTCCAGAACTTATCGCAGAAGGAAATAATATGTACGTTACAACGAACGGACGGAGATTCAACACTGCATGGACCACGCTTTAGACCACCGTTCAAAAAAGAAACACTGGCCGGAATAGCGAAAGCTGGTGATCAGAAAACGGTCGAATACTTGTGGGAGATTGTGGGAGTACAAGACACTTGTCTTGTCTGAACATCTGTTCGAATAACACAAACGTATGTGGCAAACAGGCTTTGAAGTCGGGACTAGTAAAGCGGTTGTCATGTGATGCAGCTGCTTCATGAGCTCTGAAACTTCCACTGGGGACAACGGAGGATGGTACAGTGAGACCGATGTGCTCTACCGCCAGTCTTACGGTGTTTCCCATGTTACCACATACTGCATGTCTTCTCAGTTGAAGCATCTTCCGAATGCAGCTTGAGAGCGCCATGCCCAGTGGAGCACACTCACGAATGCATGTCAAGACCTCATGCTTTCAAGCAAGAGCAACTTCAGGGAACAGCAATGCATCCTAGACCCGCAAGTGTACAACTGAGTCTACAACCAGAATTTTTGTTCCGCAGCATCGATACCGTCCTCCATGCTCTCAGTTGCCAGAAAGACGTCCGGCACGCGACCCCTTGCACAGGAGGCTTGGGCCAAGCTCTGCCGCTGAAGCTTTTCGGTGCAGCTTCAAAAAAGTGTTAGAAATCGAAAACACAGGAAATCGAAACCAGGAAATGCTCGGGCCCTTGCAGTGTGTTCCCTGGGCCCTGATGCCCTAAAGCCCAAAATTCAAAACCCCTCTCTCTCCCTCTTTCTCTCTCTCTCTCTCTCTCTCTCTCTCTCTCTCACGCACGGACTCAGTCACCTGCCAGCCGCGACGCAAAACACAGCGATTTCACTATGTACGGGTATCTACAATGACATTAAATGCGAGAAGTGGGATTACCGAAACAACTACAAGGACTTCACATGCATCGCCCATTCATCTGGAAAGCAGGACATAGCAGTTGCACCACGAATAAGTCGCCATGCAGCATGAGAAGACGTGGTAAAAAAAACTGAGCCGAGTCTGTAGGCAGTGCACCACAAAAGGACAACTCAAGCCTTCCAGATGACTCACACAACCACTTAAACGATCATAAATCATCGAGAACCCCTAGAGCCCTACACTCCAAGCCCCTCTAGCCAAAACCTAAACCTCGGTTTTACAAATACTAATGAATGCCAATACTATGACAAGGCTGCCATGGGCCAGTTGAGGGCTTCATTTCTTCACAACCACGGGCCTTTGCTTCCTCATGGAGAGCATTGCGCCACGGACCGTGTTGACAAAGATCCGCTCTGTGGCCGTCTGATTGTAACCTCTGCAGGAATTCAATGCAGGCTTCGGATGTCCTAATCCGAGACCCCGTATATACACCTTGCCCTTAAAGCCCCAAAACCCTGACTTCCATCCAAACCCCTGAACCCTCAAACCCATATAGAACCCCCTGTAATTACGTAAGTAACTTACACCAACTCTTTACACCCCAAACCCTTTTTTGAACCCCTATACGCCTATACATCCGTTGAGGAACACTTACAAGGAGTGACCCTGAAAAAGGGTCTCTGAGGGACCGGCCCTCCCAACGAAAAAGGTGTGCGCGCCTCAGCAATCGGCTTTGGCCCTCGGGTTTGTATATATGGGTTTAGGGTTTATAGGGTTTATGAGTTTGTGAGTTTAGGGGTTTTGGGT